TCCCTAAGTAGTGAGTCCTGCTTTCCCCATCCTCTAGGTATTATTGTTAGTTGTTGACTGGTGCTGTCTAGTGGGCTCCCACTCACAGCAACCCTATTTACAACAGATCTAAACAGTACTTCCTGGTACTACGCCATCCCACAATCCTTGCCGTGCTTGACCTCATCATTGCAGCCACTGTGCCAATCCCTTTTGTTGAGGGGCTTCCCCTCTTTTGCTGACCTTCAGTTTTACCAAGTATGATATCCTTCTCCACAGACTGGTGCCTTCTAACAACATGACCAAAGTAGATGGGACAAAATCTGGCCATCTTCACTTCCAAGGAGGATACTGGCTGCACTTCTTCCAGGACAGATTTGTTCCTTTCTCTGGCAGTCCATGGTATTTTCAGTATTCTTCACCAACATCACAATTCTAAGGCAGTGAGTCTTCTTCTGTCTTCCTTATTCATAGCTCAGCTTTCACATTCATGTGAGGCAATGGAAAATATTGTGGCTTGAGTTAGGCACACTTTAGTCTTCAAAGTGACATCTTTGCTCCGTAGCACTTTAAAGAGGTCCCACACAGCAGATTTGCCCAGTGCAATACATCTGATTTCTTGACGCTGCTTTCATAGGTGTTGACTGTGGATCCAATAAAATAAAATCCATGACAACTTCAATCTTTTCTCCTTTTATTGTGATACTGTTTACTGGTCCAGTTGTGAAGATTTTTGTTACCCACTGGACGATCACTAATAAACATGCAATATTTGTCCTTTTGTTCCTGACTTATTTCACTCTACATAGTTTAAAGATTCATTTATTTGTAGCATGAATCACAATTGCATTTCTGTTTATGGCTAAGAATTACCCACATTTTATTTATCCATTCATCTGTTGGTGGGTATTTAGTTTCTACTTTCTAGGTATTGCAGATAGTGCTGCAGTGGACATTGGTGCACACATATCTGTTTGCATTCCTGCTTTCAATTCTTTGGGTACATACTAGGAGTGAAATTGGTAGATCATATGGCAATTAAATGTTTAATTTTTCAGGAAATCCCCAAACTCTTTGGCACAGTAGCTGTACACTTTACAATCCCATCCATAATTGAGGAAGCTTCTATTTTTCCCACGTCCTTGACAACACCTATTTCTATTTTTTCAGCCTTAGACAACTTTGTTGTCATGTTGTTAGTTGCCATTGAGCTGGCTCTGACTTGTGGTGACCATTGGTATAACAGAATGAAATGGTGCCTGTCCGGTACTGTCTCCATGATCTTTGATATGTTTGAACCCATTGTTGTTTATATATTTATAGTCACCTTAATGGGTAAGAAATGGTATGTCACTGTAGCTTTGATAAGCTGTCCTTAATGAAATGCCCAAAGGTGATGACTCCTTTGTGGGACAGATACCGTGGAATAGATGATACCCAGTCTCTACTTCCTCAAAGAAAGGAACTACCAACTTGAGAAAAAGGATCTTTTTCTGGGGCATTGAGTTTATGTTAGTGGTGGTGGAATATTTTGTAAAAGAATTCAAATAATAGTGACACAGCGTGAAAAATGTAATCAAAGTTGTTGAATTGTAAATGTGAGAATTATGCTGGAAATTTTTTGGTGTATATATTTTCACCCCATTTTTTTTAAAAAGCATATAAATTACATAATGTCTAAGTAAATAAAAGGAGCCCCAGTTGCACAGTGCTAAAAGCACTCAAGTGCTAGCTGAAAGGTTGGCAGTTCAAACCCATCAATCCCATGGGATGAAGATGTGGCGTTCTGCTTAAAGCCTTGGGAACCCTATGGGTCAGTTCTACTCTGTCCTGTAGTGTCACTATGAGTCAGAATTGACAGTAATGGGTTCTGCTTTGGTTTTATAAGTAATAAACCCAAATAAATTAAAAAAAAACAAACAAACAACCTCACTGCCACAAGTTGGATCCCACTCACAGCAACCCCTCCTTGGGTTTCTGAGGTGGTATCTCTACGGAAGTAGATTACCCAACCTTCCTTCCAAGGAGTGACTGGTGGGTTTGAACTGTCAGCCTTCTGGTTAGCAGTCAAATGCCTTAGGTGCTATGCCACCAGAGTTCCTAAATAAACAAACTTTGCCATCTACTCAATTCCAACGCATAGTGACCCCCGTTGGGTTCACAATGTGGTAAATCTTTGCAGAAGTAGATTGCTCCATTTTCCTTTCATGGAGCAGCTGGTGGGTTTGAACCACCAACATTCTGGTTAGCAGCCAAATGTCTTAGGCACTGGGCCATCAGAGCTCCTTTTTATAAGTAAAAAGATAGGCAAATCATTAAAAAAAAAATTTAAAGGATCCCTCTCCTGTTTTTATTTTAACTTCTGGTCTACATGCAAGGAAGAAGGGTCCTCACAGAAAAAGAAATTTGCACAAATATCATGAAAATTAAGCTCTAAAGAGTGGAGAGATTTGGTGAACTCCACCATGAAGACTAAAAGTAGAAGTCAAATGCACCATAATCATCTAGCAGGAAAAAAACAAAAAACCTCACTGCCATCAAGTCCTTTCTGACTACAGTGACCCCCATTGGATTTCAGAGGCTGTAAATCTTTACAGAAGTAGATGGTCCCATCTTCCTTCCATGGAGCAGCTGGTGGGTTTGAACCACTGGCCTTCCAGTTAGCAGTCAAATGCCTTATCCACTACACCACCAAAAAAAAAAAAAAAAGCCACCAAACTCACTGCTGTGGAGTCAGATCCTACCCATAGCCACCCCTCCTTGGGTTTCTGAGGCAGTATTTCCTTAATCATCTAGCAGGGAAATCATGAAATACAACATGGACAGACTTGTCTATAAGAACTTCATAATGTTACCAAAGATTTCAGACATCCTCAAGTCTATTATCCTCAAAGTGATTAGCTATAAGACTCTTTTAATGAAAAAGGTCTATGTCTTAATTTTCAGGGGCAGCAAAAAATTACAAGGGAGTAGTAAGTAAGAGTGGGTGAAATGTGCCCAATTCCGCAGCTGATCTTTGGCTCAGGATAATATGAATCTCAGCAGCGATAGACGAGGAAAACAGGTTGAATTTCTGGAACCTGCTACAAAGGAAAAAAGGAATCAGATCAGAGAAGTGGCTCTGAGATCATAGAAAGGCTTATGTGGGACTCGATGACAAAGGGCCCCCCCAAAAAAAATCCCTGTGTAGGATTCCTGGACAAAGGCGTATATAATTTCTCTTGGTCATCTGGACTTTGTTGTTGTTTTTTAATAAGAATATGTTTGTTGATTCACTAGTGAGTTCCTTTCAATCTTCTGGTGAGGAAAATAAAACATTATTGATGATTTAAATTTAAGCAGTATTAAATATTTTGTTGCTCTACATTTGTTGTTGTTGTTGTTGTTATGTGCCGTCGAGTCGGCCCTGACTCATAGCGACCCCTCCTTGGGTTTCAGAGGCAGTATCACTACGGAAGTAGGATTGCCCAACCTTCCTTCCGAGGAGTGGCTGGTGGGTTTGAACCGCCAGCCTTCTGGTTAGCAGTCAAGTGCTTCAGCCACTATGCTACCAGAGCTCCATTAATTACTAATTTTTATGAGATGAAGATTGTATAAGAAACAAAATATATTTTTTTATGCCTCACAATTTTCAGCACATTGTCTTTACAGATCCCATGATACATATCTAAGGACTCAAATTAATAACAGATTTAAATAATTTATTTTTCCATGATCAAATTTTCCATTACAATTTTTAATGACCCAAGGGTGAAATAGGAAGCAAAAACATTCTTAATTAAACCATCCTCAACTGGCCACTCAAGACCAAGACAGCTGAGGGCACAAGGGTGGTTAGAAAATGAACCATATGTGAATAAAGAGGAAGAAAACACACACCAAATCAGTTCTCACCCCTACAACTTTATAGACTGCAATCCATTAGCCTTTTGTTGCTCTATTAGACTCCACCCATCTGTATGCTTTGATGTAATGCAAACAAGGATGTGAGGAATAGACCCCCCAAAAAAAACTGATAAATTAAAAAAAATGTGTATTTGTTAAGCATTTTAAATAAAACTACAATATTCTTGGTTAATCTATTTCTTAAAACTTAAATTCCTTATATGGACTTTTACATCCCACATACTGGAAATATTTCTAAAGTTCAAGCAAATGAATTATTTGCTGACTAACGCCAGCACTATGCTAGGTACGCTTAGGTCTATAAAAGGCAGAGCATATAAAGCATAATATTCACAATTTAAATTCAGCCAATTGAAAAATGAAAATAATGATATAATCAGGTGTCCATAAAAATATTTCTGTAACCATACCTTTAATTAAGGAGCTCTGGTAGTGTAGTGGTTAAGGCATTTGGCTGTTAACTAAAA